ATTGTAACGTGTTATGTAACGGGTGTTATGTAGCATGTATATTGTAACGTGTTATGTAGCGGTTGTTATGTAGCATGAGGAAAAATGCAAGATGTGTACGTTTTGTAACGTGTAACAGAAAATGAGAAAAGTTGTCAAAAATTATTATAAGTTTCGCAAGAATTTTTTGCAGTAATTTTTGTTAATATTTTTTGCGTTTGTATACATATTTTACTCTATTATACGAGATAATTATTTGCCAAAAATAATATGGCTCTTGTATATTAGGATCATTTTCACTTCTTGATCTCAAGTTTGTTGTTTTCGAGTGTTTCACAGCTTTCTGGCATCTTTATTAGTCGAATCTGTGACAACTTTCTCCAGTGACCTATCTCGTCATTATCTAAGTTCACTTGATACCAAAAGCCAATTTTGTTCACCACCTTGCCTGACGGATAAAAAGCCGCCCCATCCTGGCCACGAAGGAGCATTACCACGGGTATTTTATTAACGATTTCATGTTCTTGTGGCACAATATCCTTTAGAATATAATACGGGTCACTCTTACTGACCATCAGAACAGTCCCTGGAGTCAGGCTGGAGTGCTGGTCATGTGGTACAATGCCAATAGTTTTTTCATTGATCTCGCTGACGTATCCCGCAACATATGTGGTTTGTTTTTGCCATTGGTACCAACGAGCTAAGACCTTTGCTCCCACTGTCAGGCATTCTAAAAATAGTATAAATACATGCGTTGAGACATATGCTATATACTTTCATACTTTAAGAAAGTATTTGCTTATTACTTATATGAAAGTATTTACCATCAATGATGGTGGTGATAATGAAAATGGTGGTGGTGATGTTAATGGTGAGGATGATGATGGTGATGATGATGATGGTGATTATGATGATGATGGTGATGATGATGATGGTGATTATGATGATGATGGTGATGATGATGATGGTGGTGATGATGATGATGATGGTGATGACGATGTGATGATTATGGTAATGGTGATGATGATGATGATTGCATAATTAACCGCAAAATGTTTCTGGACAAATTTGAAAATAACATGATAGCTTTCTGATTGTAAAATCTCCAATATTTCTCTTCCAAAGAATAAACTATACCGTTTATCTGCAGGACCTTGTTTTGAAAGCCACGCGATTTTTCCACTTCAATCACGCAAATTTAGGTGCACAATTCTATGCTGGCGGAGTCCATTACTAGATTTCCGCTAGAACTTATATCTATTATAGCTGGCTAAAAACAAAGGACACATACTTGTGTAGAATGTACATCCATAGACTTCCATTCGTACGCACACTGATGACCCGCTAAAGATCTGAGTATTCTCGTGGCGGTAGAGGCGAAGCTTGTGCGCTACAATCGGTTTCTCCAGATAACGCTTGACTACTGCATTGCGGTCTCTATTTCCTCTGAAAACCTTGGAAGATCAAAACAAAATAGTTAAAAACAAACCTTTTTTCTTTTTTCTTTTCTTTCACGTGTTTGATCAAAGTTTGCGCAAGTGCGTTACCATCTCTACGTAATGAACTAATCTTAGAAATAAGAGAAAATACTTCCAAAGTTTTCTTACCTTAATCTCTCCGTTAACACGATACTCGTACCAATGCGCACCCAATGCATACTTCAAATAATATTTATTAACCCATTTGTATTCTTTTGGATGTCCTTGAGTAGCAATGGCCGTCACCTCCATTATGGATCCAAAATCCACCTGAAGGTACTTCTCATACGCGCTTCGAGCTGAACACCACGCGCTACTGTCGAATAGCCGCCCATGGTTTGCGCTGTGATTGGGGTCTCGTTCGGACGACGCTGATAGCATTTTACTTGAAATCTTTCGATTGCTTAATCCTAGTGGCGCTGAGCAGGCTGGGTAAAAAATTAGATTGAATTAGACGAGGAAGCTAGATACTAGTCTCACAAGAGTTGGCATGAAAGGGTAGACCCTGGAACCAAGTTGATTGAAATTGGTAGGAACTGATTAAATTCGGAGTGAGGACTGGAAAATAGGTAAGATTGGAAAGATTTGCGTGGACGGGGTGGGGGGCGTGGAACAGAGGTGCAAAGGGTTTTCATTTTCTTAAAAAATATCTTGGTGTTAGAAATAGCTTGGATTATTACTTTACTTACGCAAACATATCAAACCCTTGCCTGTCCATCTACTGTTGATCTGACAGCGAGTTTCTCTGTATCCCCGTGGGGAGTACCCTCGGTCACAACGAAATCGTACTTTATTATTGTAGGTGTAGTTGAAGTCTATTTTGATTCCATGTTCTGGTGTTTTAGGCTCACCACAGCTGAGTACTAACAAACGTACAACAGTTATATACAAACTGGGATTATTTTAGCTTATAATTGTAGGATACTTCGTGACTATGAAATTGTCACGGTACAGACGTGCGTGACCGTGACAACACCGCTAACGCAATCCAGCCTTCCCTGAATGTCTTAGATACATACATCCTGGGTTGAGCTAATAGAATATTTCGTGTGACTATTAAAATATTACGGTACCGACTAACCGTAACCGTGCTGCTTCTCAACTTTGGATGCCCATTACCTTTTGGTGTTCAGTGCGCGTAAACCGTTTTGTTTTTCATTCTTACGCTCTTGACATTAAGGAGGCTCGAAACGGTTTTTCATGAGCACGCACGCGCTTTAGACCCAATGGCGTAGAGCTTGCAAAAGGAAAATTTTGTCCTCAAAAATTTTAATATTCAAAGTGAAAAAAATCAAAAACTGTGCGGTGAAATGTTTTTAAATTTTGTATATGGTTTATGTTTTCAAAAACTTAAGGACAAATTTAATTAAAAGTTTTTACGAATTCCCTCATAAAATGTTTTTTTCTTTTTTGGTCAAAAAGAAGATTAAGATTCAAAGTTTAAATATTCCGGTTCTTAAAAAAATTCACCGTTTGGTTCCTGAGTTATGATTTATTAGATGAACATTTTTGATGGCAGAGCAAGGGTTCTGATGCTGTCATAGCAACGTCTTACGTCATTTTTTTCATGTTCATTGTGATCTTTGGTTTATGGTCTTTGGCTTTCCTGGTTTACTTGCTGTCATATTATAGCCATATTATTTTTTTTAGTTCATAATTGTGAGTGTATGTGAAGGTACAAAACACTTTCCAGCCTCCTTAATTGGTGAGCAAGTAAAGTAGATCTAGTCGTGGATTATCACCAAACAGATCTACGCACTAGAATTTGTGCTATGAATGACTCAAACGATAAACAAAGAAGGTAATTAAGTTATTGATAAAATACTTACGGTAACAAGATGGTTGCGTCCCGTCCCACTCTTTGTTGGCCTGACAAACACGAATCTGCGAACCGTCTAATTTAAAGCCGTTCTCCCAATCACAGCCAAACTCGTACCGTTGTCCAAATGTTGTGCCAGTAGAACGAACGATTGAACCACGTTCGGGTGGCGGCAATGGACCACACTCCACCGCTATGATAAAAAAAAGATGATGAGTAATTTGGTCTATATGTTAGAGTAAAGCCATTAGAAGTAGACATTAGACTAATACACTTTAGTACACCCTAATTCCATTGTTTTATTTTGTGTCTATTTGACTATTACACGTTGACTAAAAAATTTTATATTTCACGGGTTAAATGTCTTCACTCTTATAAAACTCTTCTTTTGAAGGGTAACTCTTAATGCTCTAGTAAAGCGGGTGGGGCTTTTTACCAAGAGAGAAAAAGACCTATACCGGGGTACCGGAGGTATTGGAGGTACCGGAGGTGAAAGAAGGCTTGGGGCGCGCATCCACATACCGCACAGACATCCTTACTTTAGGCTCAGCAAATCTAAAATCTACCGCGAAAATGAATACCCCAAACCATTATAGAACAATTGTTAAGAATCTCGCGTTCTGATTGGTTGGGAGCGCGTGCTTTATAAGAGCACGCAGCAAGCCCGCGCAATTTTTATTTTGTCATTCCAGCGCTAACCCAAAATAACGGTTACTATAATTTGTATTTTAGATTGCTTGCTACGCGTGAAGCCTCCCCTCGTGTTCTGCCAATCCTCACGTGCTGCACACAGCACGCGCGCATACTCTATTTCTTCGGAATAAATGATTCAGACTTACGGAGACATGTGAACTGCTGATTCGTCCATGTGTCTTGACATGTGATGGATGGTTTGCCTGTCAAGTAGTACCCATTGTTACAGGAGAAATATACTTCGTCGTTTTCTACGTAAGGGCCTTTCTTTCCTCGTGGGAAGGTGATGTAGGCGTTGTCCGGCACATGAGGGGGTTTGCATTTTGGCGCTGAAAAAAAAAAATAAAATAAAATAAAATAAAATAAATAGATTTTAAAATGGAGTACAAAATAAACTAGAAAGTAAGTAAATTGGTGAGCATTCGCCTGTCTGGAATCTAGAGTTTGATTCCTGGACTTGGTATCACATGTGAGTAGAGTTTGTTAATGGTTTGTTTGGTCAGGGCACAGATAATTCACAGCTCGAATTGGAATTTAGCGTATGGGTTTTGCACAGGGAGAAAAGCCGGAGAACCTGTAGAAAAACCCTCGAATCAGGGGAAGGACCTAACAAATATGATGCTGAGTTCAGGAATCGAATGTGAGACCCCAGAGATAAGATCGAGTGTACTACCGCGACAACACCCTTTATTCCCTAAGCGGAAAAGACACAACTAAGAGGATACTTACGTAGACACAGGAATTCAGTTTTAGTCCAGTTCCCGTTCAAGCAGGTGATGATGGGTGTTCCCCTCAAGAAGAAGCCTGGTTTACAACTAAAGTAGACAGCTGCTTCGTTATCAAAGTACAGCTGATGACTTGTCGTGAGGTAGGAATTGGGAGGTATCACAGGCGGGTTAC